TGTCTCACGACGGTCTAAACCCAGATGGGGTGTGAGCAGCAATGTATTTGGTCCAGCCTTTGCGTTCGTGTTACTACGATATTGATTCATTAATTCATCGTGATCATCATCACTCCCATCATCATTCTATTTTTGGCATTTGTTAACTATAATTTTACTACTGGGGACAAACACCGCTCCTACGCTACTGCCACTGCTACTGCTGCTGCCAGCACTACACCAGGCTGGACAACTTTCATGCCTCGAACATCCTGGAAGACTGACCAAGGGCCGTCAGCCATGCAGCTAGGCGGCGCATAGGACATAACAAGAAGCGAACACCATCGGCTTGCAGCCGAATCTATCAGAAAGACGGCTGCTAGGGAGTGCCACAGCTGCCCCAACGAGCTGTCCGATAAGAACCTTGGCAAACGGCAAATGCTGGGCGTCGCCACCAAGTGATTGTAGCACAAACTGTGCACATGCACACACGCACAAATGGACATTGGAGCGACCCTCGAAATAGCCGAAGCTGTTCGTGGCTTAGCAGGATGTATTTCTTATAATTTCAATCCCAATCTCACGTGGCTTCTTAGCAGCCGGGCAAACCAGCCACCCTTCACAGCCCAGCTCCGGGATTCGACAAGGTTGCCCGCTTTCCCCCTACCTATTCCTGGTCGTTCACAGCATGATCATGCCCGATGTTGACGAAGCTTTACAGCAGCAGGGGCAGTTCTTGCCCTGGCTGTTCAGTCAAAATCAACCTTTCTACGACCTGGCGTACGCTGATGACACGGCCATTTCCACAGGTACAGCAGAGCGGGGACAACGCATTTTACACACGCTCCAGGAAGTTGCGGCACCCAGCAACCTCACAGTGAATCATAAAAGGTGCGAACTTCTTCGCTCACCGGGGCGACCAACAAAATTTGCTTCCTCACAGGGGAGCCTCTCAAGCAAATCACCCAGGCCAAACACTTGGGAGTCATGCTGCGCTCTGACTTTTCGAGCAAGACCAACGTCACTACCAGGCTAGGCAAAACCGGGGAGCACTGCAAAACCCTCCACAAGTTTCGGAGACATCCAGGGCTGAACATTGCCTGGAAGCTCCGGATCTACAAATCGTGTTCGTTCCCATGATCACCTACCATGGAATCAGCAGCGTTGACACACGCCGACCTACACAGGCTCGAGGCCTTCCACTCACAGTCACTCCGGAAGATTCAGCGAATCAAGGCCACATTCTACACCAAAGTTCTCACCGACAACCCCGACGCCCAAACCATCCGCAACGAGGGCGTCAGAGCACTCGCTGACCGGCCCCGCCTCACACACCACGTTCACAGGGCACTGTTGAAGTTGTTTGGTCATGTTTTGAGAGCTCCGAGCAACGAAGGATTTTACATACAGATGTAGTGTAAAGTCAGGCGTAAGGCCGAGCCGAAGAGGATTTCACTGGGAGCAGTGCGCTGAACTAGTGTGGCATTGGCTTAGCCACACCTCACAGTCCCCTACTACCTCCTCCCTTACTTTTCCCTACGCCTTCTTGCAATTACTCACAGTGAGTACTGGGACATGCGAGAGCTTTGCGTATGGCCGCCCAAAAGACGTGGTCCGGTTCATCATCTATCTCTCTCTCTCTCTCTGAACTCTTCCACTCTCTCTGCACATGTGATCAGGAATATGCCACCGAACCGAACTTGCACACACTCTCACACAGCCGCGCAACACGCTCACCAAACTGCTCAACGTGCTTCCTGAGGTTACGCCTTTTAGCCTCCTTCCTATCAGGCATGAGCATGCTGGGTGTCGGCTCACATGTCTCAAGTTCACTGGCTGCTGCAGCACATGACTGCTGTATCCAACTGACAAATCCCTTCTTTTTCGGCAAGTGGTGCTATCCGAGAGCCCGATAGGACACAAAGTTTCCCGGCCACACCGCCATAGATCACATGACACAACTCAACGCCACACTCTCCGGGATCCTGTAGATAGATAGATAGATAGATAGATAGATAGACGGAATGAGAGGATCAGACAGAGAAGGAACTGAGTGGACCGGAGGCGCCAGCAGACCAGGGACCAAGAAGATCACGGACCAGGAGACCAGAAGACCAGGAGACCAGAAGACCAGGGGACCGAGAAGACCAAGGGACCAGGGGACCAAAGGACCACGTGACCGGGGCATGGGGAAACGGAAGGGAGTAACAAAAAAAAGGGAGTGAACAAATACGCCCTCCCTTCAAAACTACAACGAACAAGTTGTGACTTGAGCAAACTCAGCGGGCATGCTGAACCCAACAATGGATTCGCCGAGTGTAGCTGTGTGCAGGCAGCGCTGACTGCTTGTATGGCTTCGAGTCGACGGTACATGTAGATGCCGAAACACACACTAGGACCCTGATCCCTCCGGCACGCTGAAGTTGTGTCGGCGACATGAGCTCGAGAAATGAGTAGTGAATGAAAACAAGGCGATGACACTGTAAGACCCTTCCAAACGCCGACTGCTGACAGCCAATCTGCGAGCTGGGTGGCCAAAGTACTCAATCGCGAGATCACCACTGCCTCTTCTTTAACCTGTCTCGGGGACACTCTCTGCAATCCTGCGTACATGGTCACGGCATGTGCCATCTTCGATGCATACACAGACCTTTCAACGTCATCAGCATCCAGCACGTCTCGACCAAGCTGCCTCGAACATGTCGCGGATGAAATACTCCATAAACACTATCACCTCGACTGCGACTGCGAACATCTGCGTCTCAAAATCTGTCGTTCTCCACTGCCGCCCAGGCTCGGCCTGGCTTGTGTAGAAGAGAAGCCGCCCACAGCAGACCCAAAAAAAGTCAAGATCTGTCTGTAGATCCAGGGTGTAGGCGGACAGTATCTCACCTGCAACATCCTGCGTTTACGAATGTCCGCTTCTCAGCCCAGGTTCGAACCTCTGCTGGGCAAAGCCGTTTCATGGACGCTGGCTTCCTGAGATGCTTAAGCCACGCGGGCGGCGAACGCATGCTCGTGATCGGCTGAACTCACGCTCGAAAAACCTCTGAAACTCTACTCAAGACACGAACCAAGTATCCTCCTTGGCAACCGAGCACACAATTGAGGAACAGAAAACCACCCCAGCCGCATATATTATGTAGAACATTTGCAGTGGCTGACCTGCCAGGGGCTGCTTTACGTCAGTTCTGGTGGCGAGTCGAGGTGGACGAGTGCGAGGGACGTGTCTAATGATTCTACTGGCCTTTCATCAATTCCATGACGCCCATTGCGAGCACAGCTCCAATGAAGGAGTGCAATGCCTCCAGGCACGAGTCAAGAACTGACACATTCCTGACTACCTGGCGTCATACAAGCAGCCAGACTGCCATGATGCCGGAGACGATGCCAGCTTCGGCATCTCGGCACGGACCTGAATGGTCGAGAGTCTAGAGTGATCACAAACTGAATCGACATGTCCCAATCTCAACCTCTGCCAAAATCAGCCACAGCGAAACCATTTTAAGAAATGTAGAGGGCACGTCAGCTGGACAACACAAGGAATATCAACAAACAGTCAAATGCCTTAAAACCTACTTGGCTAAGACATGATGGATATTCGATGTTTTCGGGCCGTTTCTTATTTGGCTTTGTGCTTCCAATCATCTGAAGACTCCTAGAACATGCCAGCGTAGATCCCCAAACAATGAAGGACCGTGCCCGACAAAACCCAGGAGAATCATCGAGATGTGTCCATGATATCACAGCACGCTAGTGCTCCGAAACCGTCGTGCTGACAAATTCTTGCGTCGCACGTAAACATGCACGCGCGCCGGTATTTGTGCATGTGTGTTTGTATGTGTGTGTGTGCGTTTGACTGCATGCGTCTCACGGACATCGCGGTCGCGGTGCATCGGTCTGGCTTGAACTATTCGGGAAAACTCAAGTCGAAAAGGCTGGATCTGTGTTTTGCTATTGTTTTGCTAGAATTTACACCATGAAGTCACAACAGTTCGTGGCCTGAGTGGAGCTTCCCATAGGGGAGAGGCAACGGGCAAAGACGGGCAAAGGTCGACGCCAGTGGCACTGTTCTGCTACCATTAACTGCTTTCCTTAAGGAAAAGGTGCTTTCTTAGGAGAATTCGGGCGATTCAAGGTCTTCGAAAGCAAAAGGTGGTCGGAGACCCCGGTAAAGGACAGGATGAAGCTAAAGACAAGCGAAGGACTGAAAGGTACCCTACACAGGCTCTACACGGCGAAGTGGCAGTCCTTCTCCAGCAGATCTGCTGTAGCATGACAGTGAGTGATGGGACCGCATAGCAAGTATGTTGAATCGAGTGGCCCGTAGACTCCAGATCTCTCGCGCTCGCTGCGCTCAGATCCTTCAGCTACTGTAAGCTTTTAAGCTGTCGAAACTTGCCCTATCTCTGGCAAGGTTAGACCGAATCATGCGAGGTGTAACTTACGGCCGACGTACCGAGTTTGCCCACAAGTGCAAATCCCACTGAAGCACGTCAGTCAGACAAGTCTCCGCCGGCAGTGCGGCATGGGCGGCATAAGCCACGTTGAGTGCCATCTCTGTCACAAACAAACCCAGCATAAACGTCTTTGGCCATGACCAGAGACTTGCAAAATAGAGCAGCACAAAGCCTGCACAGGGACATGCGAGACGTTGCGTCTTTTCGTGAGCTTTCTCTGCAACATCACCGCTTCGATTTGCTCGTAAGCCTGCGCTGGACACCAGGCTCCCTGCTACAAGAAATGGACGTCGCCGCCCCCAAGCAGACGAGACTCGATCTGAACACATGCCTGCTACGGGACCTGAGACAAAATCAACGGCACTTTGATGTGACTCTGTACTCCAAGCTGAGCCACCCACATACTAGTTGCGTGGCTCCGCAGATCATCACATAGACTGCCAGCCATAGGCTCGAGGCTTCCTGTAGCTACGGAATTTCGATTGGACAGGAAAGCAGTATCAGCCTTTTTCAACAGGTTCTGTTTATGCCCATCAACTGGCTGTGCAACCGAGCTGCACTGTTAAGCCTTTCTGCTTCTCTCGGTAGAACCGAGAGGGCAAAGCTCGACGTTATCATCGAATAGATCAATTGGTAAGCTGTAACGCATAGCCAGAGTGCAGTGCCTGCCATATATCTGCCATGCCAGAAAGACAAGCGCCGATCTTAGCTGAAAAGCCAAGCCTCGGCTGCTCTTGTCCATCTTCGGTGCGGTGTAACAGGAATGGTAGTTGTCCTGTGAAAGGGAAGAGGTCTGCGAGTGGTCTGCGGTCTATCCTTCGCTGGCTCCAATGTGGCTGGAGGGCAGGGCAGATAAAAGGGCAAATTGAGATCACCTTGTTGTCATGTCGCGCTCAGTGATTTAAGCGGTCTAGATGACAAGCCGCTCAACAACAGAACTGTTTAGCACACCTGATGCAAGTGCCACATGTATGAGGAAGTTCCATGTGCCAATACAGTCCACGAGAAAGCGCATACTCTCTGTTCGATCCGGCTGTGCGGCTCCTAGAGAACTACTCCAGGCAAGCATGCTTCGGATACATGAGCGGGCGCCCCAGCGTAGGTGATATCCTGTGCAGTAATGCAGTACCGGATGGCCGGATGGTACCTGCATCTTCTCACAAGAACTGGGCTTTACGGGGATGTCATCGACCAGCACAGATAATCACAGCAGTAACTGTTTATGCACGCAGTCCTGGAGGTCCTGACATAGGTGCGGAGTGGCGGCTTCCATCCGTCTTCATGGACACTACGAGTAGAACGATAGAAATACGCTTGAACCCAAGCCGTGCTCAGGCATGATGACACAAAAAATAGCGACCGAGGTTTCCAGAATAAACACTCAAGGCAGATCTAAGGCAACAAGTTTAGCTTCCACCCGAAACCTCGAGGCTATGCAGTCGGATGCCGCCTTACCGGTGCGTTGCTGCCAGGATGGGATTCACGCTCATGCTGCTTCATCTGCAGCTGCACTTCCAATCGAAGGCCTCTCGTTTCGCCAGATCTCGAACAGTTCGAAAATCAGAGCTGATGGAGTGATAAGACTTTACTGAAACGTTCAGCCAAAGTAGCTACAAAGGCAGCAATCACACTATTGAGCACGGCCCCTTGCTACACAAAGCACGCCCTTTCTGCTCCGAGCAAGTGCAGTCTGAGATCGGTGCTTCCATGGCATTGCCAGCTGAAGAGCGCACAATTTTGATGCTCACTTCGCTGTCGCTGTGATTGCCTGTAAGCCAAGAGAGCCGTGGTGAAAAAACCGTTCTGGCATGCACGTTTCCTCCGCCTCCATTCAATCCATGCAAGTACTTGCGGCCGCCCTCTAAAACCCACAGCGTCGGAAGCCGTGGGTCGATCCAAAGCACAGTCTAGAGAGTGTCTGACGACTGAGGAGTTCTTGACATGACTCGTCATCAAGAGGCTTTGATACAGACTCGGTAGGATCCTGCGTAACAGGCTCAGGCCGAGGCGTTGAGCTGCTGAACAACTCTTTGATGTTGGTACGCAGTCGCGAGCTCTTTGGCACCTTTTCCGGTGCAGTCGACTGCCTTAGGATGTCAAGGTACATCTAGATCCGAGCTTTTTCTTCTCTCTGCATCAGGAGGGCTTTCACATTCGCTCCTTGCCCCACCAGAAGTTCGACCTCACACCAAGCAGATTCTCTCTCCTTGTTGTAGAAAGAAAGAGTCACTCTGGGTCGCAGCACATGAAAACAAACATCGAGGAAAGGGCAGTGTTCGCTCGGCCTGCGACCGCAGCTGCCAGCAAGGGTGTTCGACCTAGGAACAAGACAGCAGAGTCCCATACCGCACAGCTCAGCCCTTGCTTCAAGGACGTGGAAGCACGACTCCCCGCTTGAGGGCGTCGCCTTGTGAGTCCTGCTTCTCGAGTTTAGCACGAGCCGCTAAGAGCGTCATCACGGCTGCCCCATTTCCCCTTCGAGGGTGACACAAACCGACAACTCCTCAAGGTGACGAGTTTGTCACCTTGGCCACAGTGCACATGGCCCTCGCCTACGAGCGGCATGGTGCAGGGCTGTGGATCCTGCATCAGTGTCATTATGTGTCATTGAAAACATGGTGTGCGCGCCAGCAGGTTGACAACGAACAGACTACAGACAAGAGCCGAACCACTGAGCTGCCCGTCCTTCGATGTCCGAAATCTCGAGAGGCGATTTGTGCTCAATCAGGATTTTGCAGATCTCATGCCGCGCCCCGGAAGCTGCCAGGATCAGTGGAGTTGATCCACTCTTGTCAGCCACCTCTGAACTCAGTCGGAAGGGCAACTGAGCGAACTGCAACAATCAAGTGCCTGCCGGACATCAGCTCGGGCTTGCAAAAGATATCGAGCAACTTCCGCTCTCTGGCCGTGGATGGCGTGCATGAGTCCCTGTGCAGCAGTACAGCAAGCTAAAGCGAAAATCCAAGCCCTACCCAACGCCATCATCAAATCCCTCTGCCCTGAAGGCAGGAAACCTGTGTTACCACCTTAACTCACGTCCTTAGCAGCACACAATTGAAAGACAAGATGCAGTCCAGCCGTTTGCATCACTGGCATCCACCACAGCCTTCCTTATTGCAATTGAAGCGGGCTGCCTGCATTAGCTTGTTTCATCACTGCATAAGTAGCAAGTAATGGATAGTAATTGAGAAGGCCTCCTCGATGTTATGCTTGTCGGTAACGCTGTAATGCCAGCTTACGCTACGCTTGTGTCATCGCTTGCAGGCATTGTCAGACCGAGCATCCGATCCAGTAGAATGCGCACGGCATCTGCGCGGCCACGGGAAGCTGCCGCCACCAAAGCTGTCTGGTCGGCGAAACGTCCTGTGGAGGGGGGCCCGAAGCGCGAGAGATCGCGAGAGTACGTGGGCATTTCATGCCTGGCCTTCGTTGACGCAGCCATCAACTCGCACACCACTGCGACTGAATAGCTGCTGGAGATCTCCAACTTCGCCAGCCCGAGCCGCTGCTACGAATCGCTCTTGGTTTGCAGCAACTTGAAGTTCGTCGTTCGACCCCAGCAATACCTCTTGGTCCAACGGACCAGGTCTTCCTGTTGCTATGTCTGGTCGAATGGCAGCGGGTTCCGAGGAATGGTATCCGAAGGCGCTTGGGCCGGAACAGTTGGTCCCTGCGTCTGCCCCGGAGCGACCAATTCCATTTTCGTGGGCTTTGCGTGGAGCAGCTTCCACTGGCCGCCCCGCTCCACCGGCTTCTTCGCCAAAAGGTACTGGCATGCAAATGCTCACTGCTTCCGTGTCGAGGAGACCACTCCCACCAACCACGCCAAAACCTCTGGGCTGGTCATCCTGCACTGCTGGTGCACTTCGCGCGGTTGGGTCTTGTAGATCGCTTCGATCGCTGTCGCCGCTAGGTGTAGGCTCTGCATCAGGCTCCGGGATTCGAGCACGCATTGGCCTCCGGACCGGGGAGGTCTGGGAGACAGGTGGTCGCGGAACTGGCTTGGCCGACTTCTCGGGAGCTTTGCAGCGCTCTGCACCTGGGGCATGTAACATGCTTTGTCATGCCCCTGCAAGAACCTCTCAAGACATCGATGGATTTCGGATGATACCGGGGAAGCTCGCAGGTTTATCTTAAGCTCGGGCACGAACAATGGGAACCATGTCTGGCGTCCATGACTCGTCGCCGCCAGCCAAGCTTGAAGCACCCGAGCTGAGCAGCAGTACGGTCAGGCCCAGATCGGGCCGTGATAGCGACTGCAGCAGCATCAGCCTAGATCCGTCTTCTCCTGACTGGCAACGTGCTGGTGCACACCAGACGATTAGCGGCCGACAATCTTCGACTATGGGCGATATTGCTCAAACCTCTCAACACCACTCGGCCATTACCATGCACAGCCAAACACAATGGCCGGACTAACGGATTTCTGCTGTGCTGATTTTGCACCAGGCATCCTGCCGGATTGACCGAGACAGTCACCTCTTCTGATTCCAGGCCCAAGTCTGGAATGCAGCAAATCGCCGAGATGCAGCGAATCTCCTCCGCAGCTGGAGGCGGAGCATGCGCCCATGCCGGCTGATTTCAGGATGGTTACGTCGACGTGTCAATGAAGCTGATGATCATTTGGTTTGTCACTCACGCACCTCTGTTTCGGAAGAATTTGTTCTGTGGGTGATTTGCCTCGTACAGTCCATACTCGACTCCCCCGACGTTCGAGGCTTATTTGGGATGCTGCGTTTCCACGCTCCGGAATTAAATCCCCTGCAGCACTGCTGGATAGCAAGAGTCCTCTTCGTTGTTGGTCCATCCTAGTTGCCGGCGCTGAGATTTGACGGCAGTGTGGAGCCCAGTTTGAACGCTGCCAAACCTCAGTAAAGCATGGTCAAGCTAGCACAGCATGAGGGGAATACACGGGCCCGGCCGGTAGGACAGGCCACATTTCCCAAGGCCAGGGGCCTGGAACTTCATACTTCATCCGTCCCTGCGGGCCGTTCCCCGTCGCAAGAGCACGTGCCTGAAGGTGGCCCTCGAAAACAGCGCCTGCGAGATCCGCCAACTGCGCCATGTGTCCCAAGCTGATCGCTGCAAGGACTTTTGAAAGGTACTTGGCACGAGTAAGGAAACAACTACGCAAGATTCTCACACTTGCTTGCTTAGCTTGCGCATGCTTGCGCTAGCCGTGTGGGTAAAAGAAGTCAACCATGAAATGCCTCACGAAACGAAGACAGTGGCAGCAGCTTCTACTCGTCCAGTGTCTTCTCTTTTTAAGTGACGACCCGTGCTGCGAACGATTCCCTCAAGCTGCGACGTGGCTACTCAGAGGAATTTTTGCTGCGGCCAAGCGACAACAGCCACGTTTGCAAGATTTGCAAGGGAGCGCGACGGCCGCGCGCTGAAAACGGCGGAAGATCGTGCCGTCCGCAAAGCGGCAAATTCACCGACACACGAAGGCAAACGAAAATTCAGAACTGATACGTCTGCTATGTACACGGGCATCAAGCCTAATGCTTTCGATGGTCCCACCAAGTGTATGGTATGCTGCGACGATGAAGTCTATGCCGTCGTCATCTCCGGCACAAGGAGAGGTGTCGCCTGCCGTCAGATGCCAGTAGCTGTGCCGCACGCAACAAGTGAGATTCAGAACACCTGCGCTACTTTTTATCCTTTGGTCCGTATACATGCCGCCTCACAAATGAGGAAGGCAAGCACTTGCAAACTTCTGATTTGTCGTTGAAACACCGCCGAACCTCTCTTTTTTTGTGCTCGTTGTGATGCTTAAGAGCAATCGGTGTTGCACCGGGCGTCCCCCGGCGCCCCGGCACTTGAGTGAAATGAGCAACTGCTGGCAAATGCTGCCTCGAACGGAAGAAGAGGTTCGATTCTGGGAAAGAAAGAGGAGGTCCCAATATTGCCCAGTCAGAGAGAAAAGAAGCCATGTTGGACATTTCGGTACTTTGCACATATCAAGCGTCCCCCCAGACCCCTTCATCGCGCAAGTTGCCCGATTGCACAGCAGCTACCAGTAGGGCCGCTACAGGGCATTCAGGATTCAGCATCCATGTACATCTTGGCCATCTTGGCCCACGTCTTTGCCGTTTGTATTGTGAAAGGATCGTCAGCATCCAATTGAAATACGCTATAATACGCAGCGTATTGAGCATGGCACAAAGTCACAGAGAGAATTCGAAGCAGCAGAGAAACCACTCCTTCTGCGTCTTCGGTGCGATCAGGGGCGGAGGATTTTCCGGGTCGACCTGGTCGTTTCGGAGTCGTGGCTGCGTCTCTGAAACAGAAGCAAACGAGTCGCGGGCCGGTGGATTGCTCGTGGCTTCCAGCTCCCATGGCTTCATTTCCGCGCGAGCTATGGCTGCTTCGATGGCCTTCGATGGTGTCAGTACGTTTCCATGTGGAGTCGCTGCATGCTCGGACCTGCGCATGCTCCGGGCCGGGCATCTCACCCTCGGGAGTCAGCACCAAGCCTCAGAGAGACACTGGAGTTGGAGCGACGACTCTCCGATCTCTTCTCGGCAGCACGCATCCTCGATATGAAAGGCCAGCTCTGCGTGCGACACCCACCTTAGGCTTGAGGCTTGCCCATGACTACGACCTTCTGACTACACTCCACTTGGGTCGTGGCATAGAAAAGCACGATCCACTCCAAATTGTCATCGGCTCCCAGTAGATGCCATCTCTCCTCACCCGGGCTTTCTCCAAGGCTCAAACTTTTGAGGGTCATGTGCCATCTCTCAATACACCGTGCAGTCCTCTGAGATGATTCCATTGTCGACCACCGAGAAATCCCACATTCCGGGCCTAAGAGCAAACATTGTATGGATTTGCAGCTGGCATCACCATTAAACAATGCTATCCACTGGCACATCTTTTGTTAACATGCTTCCAGACATCAATAAGTTTTGAAGCATTGGAGCAGACACACACGAAGTGATAACGCGAACGAGTACACAAGCGTGGAGAGGGGGCAGAGGCTCGCACGTCCGCGTGCCCGTTCTCGCACGCACACACACACATACACAGAGAAAGCTCAAGAGAAAGAAGGAAAAAGACCATGCATGCCCTGCATACGGTAACACAATTACATAATCACTGTCACACATTCAACATTCGCTTCCCGCACAAACTCTACCTTTGATCTCAACACTGAAGATATAGTTTACATGATATAACTCCAGCTATGCCAGCTTTGTATTTCCAAATAGTAACAAGGGTACAGCCGTTGCTGAGTCGGCAACGTGTCCCGCCTGCGCACTCGGTAGTCGCGTGTGCGCCATATCTTGGCTCCATCCAACGCCTTCGAAAGTGAAGCAATATGATACGACCACGACATTTCAGCACGAATCCTCACCTTGACGAACGCGGATCTGCAGGTGCAGACGCATCAACAAATCTCACACACAAACACCAGCAATTTCTTTTTCTTTCTGTGGGCCTAGGCGAAACGTTTCCGTCTCCCCTTGCGCTCAAGCACACCCGATTTTGTCTGTCAGTCTCTCTCTTCTGTCTCTTCCTTCTGTCTCGCTCTCTCGCTCTTTCTTTCTTTCTGCAGGGCGTAGGGGTCGATCACTCGACCCTCAGGTGGGCGGGCCCGCTCTCTCTTTTCCTCTTCGTCTTCAACTCAGCCAAAGGGAAGGCGGACCCCCGTGCACACATGCGCCCTGGAAGTCTTTGTCTGTGTGAAAGGCGACTTACGATGCGGCAAGTCTGGGAACCCCGAACCTCTCTTTTTCTTCGGGCATAGGGGATCTCTTAAATCCCCCGGGCCCCAGGCCCCCGCGTATGTTACAGGGAATTGGAGGGATTGTGAAAGAGTCTCGGCGTCCCCATTTGTTTGAATGATGTATCCATACGATCAAGTGTAAAAAACTACATATTGACATAGAAAAGTGCACTGCGACATCATCATTCAAGGTGGAATGCCATAACGGAAATAGCATGCTGTACCCCTGTTACATGCATGGACTTTTTTCTCTCTCTCTCTCTCTCTCTCTCTCTCTCTCTGTTTCTCTCTCTCTCTCTCTCTCGCTCCACGGGGCATAGGGGCAGGTCAGTGCCCCCGGGCGCCAGGCCCACCCAATGTGTTATTGGGCAAAGGGGAGTGAGAAAAGAGTATAGATCGTCAAAGG